TGGGGGTTGCCTTTCGGGGCGGGGGGTCCTTCGCCACCAAAATTGACGAAGGGTGGCGAGAAGATGGGTGGCGGGGTCACCGACGCGCGCCAGTCTACCCCGGGACCTTTGGCCTTTCGTGATGGTGATCATCGATGAGCCCCACGACACCACCTTTTCGACGGGAGGGCGATGGAATTGTCGTTTAACAGTCCTGGGCACTGCTCGTCCGTCGCCGTCCACCAAGCACGAGTGTGTGTTTATAAGGATGTGACCGTCCTTGCCAAATGCACGATTGGGCTCCAAACACGTGCATCACGGTACACACGCCAGCCTTCTCACTGTGTCGCCTTCACGGCTCCTGCCTCATCTCCCCAGTTTTTCTTCTCCGCGGCACGAAGGTAGTCGCACGCTGCACTCCGCCTTCGTGGATGATCCGCGCCTTCCGGCGGGTTCGTTGTGACGTGCGCCCACTACGAAGGCCACTCGACGCCACTTTATGTGCCCGTGTTCAACGTCATCATCGTCTTCCTCGCCGCCTTCATTGCCTTTCTCACCATCCTCGCTTTCGTCACCATCGCCGCCATCGTCGCCACGATCGTGGTCGTGGCCTTGCTAAGTGCACGGGGCCATCCACCATCGTCGTCGCAGCATCCATCGTGGGACATCTAAACGTCATCGCCGCGTTGTTCCACCGTGGAGTGCGCAGCTCAGATTCGTCATCGTCAACGCCATCGTCGCCATCATCACCACGTTCACCGTCTTTCCCGTCGTCTCCGTCATCGTCTTCGTCGTCGTTACGGGTCGTCGTCGACAACGTCTTCCGACCCGTCGACGACAGCGACGACATCATCGTCATACCACCATCACAGTCGAGACGACGATCTGAATTTGATGACACGTTTCGCCATCGCCGCAGAGATCTTGACTTCGCAGGTGATCAAGCTTGAAGTGGTTGTGTCGTGCGTCATGTCGTCCCTTGGTTCTGGACGCGACAAGTCCGCCGCCAATCTGGCAGTGGAAGCGGATGCCCGGGAGAAAAAGGGCTGCCACATTGCGAACAAGAAGAGGAAGCTCGTCCAAGGCAGCTCCTCACTTGCGAGGTATGTCGAGGATGAACAGTGGGTGTCGGAGGGGGTGGCGTCGCAGGTGGAAAGCGACTTCGAGGAAGAGGAGGAAGTATCGTTGAAGCGGAAGTCCTCGAGGCGGGGAAGTGGAGGCCCACGGATTGAGGACGTTGGCGAAAGATGAGGCGGAGGAGGACGCACAATAATGGAAGACGTCATCGACATCAACGTCGCGGCGGCATCCAGGCAGGGCGGGGGAACTGCCATCGCACAGCAAAATCGCGCGCCCGTGCCACATGTGAATGACGACCAGGCCGCACAAGAGGGTGTTGTCCTCGCACGAACACCAGCAACCCCGAGGGCGACGACGGCTACAGACATTGGCATGAATGCGCAAGCCATTGCTCAGGCGAACAAGAGTCGCTCTCCTGCGCTAGAGGTGCGCGGGGCCGCATCGGGAAGGGGCGAGGGCAAGCAGAACCACAGCGGGGGGGCTGCGCAAGTGGGGGAAGGGGCGAGGGCAGGCAGTGGCGCAGTGGCGGGGGCTTCACACGCGGCTGAAGTAGTGAGGGCGGCCGGGGTCAAGGCAGGGAGGGGTCCACATGCGGGGGAAGGGGCGAGGGCAGGCGATGTCGTCGGACCAAGGGAGGGCGACGAAGCGCTGGTGAACAGGGTGCGTCACCGGTATATGCGGGATGGAATCGAGGCGGCGTCGAAGCTGTGGGTGGATGACCTCCACTTCAAGAACGAAACAGAAGGGAACGACATAGTGAAGTTGATACAGGAAGCGCGCCTGTATCTTGTGGCGGTGGCGCAGGGAGTGCAGCCTCCAGCCGTTCGTCGAAGCATCGTCTTGCCTCATACCACCATCCTACAACACAAAATCGACGACGAATCGGAGTTGAACTCTGCGAAGGAGAGGGCGTTCAAGGTGCAAACCATCGCTTTGCGGGTGATCCACGGGTGGGTCTTCAAGTCGACGAGCAGGCAACGGGGGTACCACGCTGCGTACGGGTACGTGTTGAACCACGCGGCCACTTACATCGCTCGGGTGATCTGGATGGGTGAGGACTGGCGTATATGTGTGAGCCCCACGGTGTTCCACATTACGCTGGACATAGATACGAAGCTGCCACCGTGGTTCGTCGGCACCGACATCGAAGACAGACACGAGAACGACGAGTTGGCGGCTTATCAGGAGGCGAGCATCCAGCGACGAGTGGGGGCTTTCACGAGCGCTGTAAGCATGGCGGAGGGGATCGACGACGGTCGGGTGTCACACGAAAGGTTGAAGAGCATTGCCGATGCGATGAGGATCATGCTCGCGACGACCATGTGGCTCATGCGGATGAGCGGGGATGATCATCCCGCGCATTACGAGGTGTGGGTGTTCGTCCAACTGACAACAAAGTCGACGCTCATCGCATCCATGAATCGCTCATTTGATGCGCGTCGCCATATCGTCCAAGCTGCGACCGTCATCACGTACAAGTTGGCCAAACCCCCCATGACTTTGGTAGCCCCTTCATTGTACATCCCCGTCTGGGCGTCAATCGGCGTGAAGTTCTCACATGACGCCACGTTGTCTTCCCCCATGGAGGCAAAGAAGCTCGATTGGTTGGGCACAGGCCGACCCGAAGACGAAGATGACGACAAAGCCGACGACGAAAGGAGTGGGGGGGGTTGATGACGCGTTCATGGTGCCCGTCCTCGACGTCGCCATCGCAGGGTGGGATGGGGTGGTTGTCCTATTTCCCGGAGAGACGGTGACGTGGGATGGGGGACATGCGAAGGGGGGCTGGTGTGGGGTTCGGGGTTTGGGGGTGTCGTGCATGTGCGTGTTCGTCGTGCTTGTTGTTTTCTCTCGCGCGCTGCTGCTCTGACGTCACTTGGTTCGACACTCCTCGACAATCGTCGTGCCGGAGTGCACATATGTCATGGAACTTAGTGGGACAGGAGGGGGCCAGGGAGAGGAGGGGGCCGGGGGGAAGAAGGGGGGGGAGCTCTCCTTTTGCGCTCGCCCCCCCTAGGCATGTGTCTTTCGTGTCGCTGTACGGTCCATAGTTAACATTCTGATTTCGTAGCCGACGTCCTGTGCTCGCCAACACGTGGGATGATCTTGGCACGGGGATGGAGGTTGTCGCCAACGAGTCTTTGCGGGTGGAGAGGGGAGAGATGGAAGAGGGGGGATGTGGTAGAGGGGGTGTGCTTGGTTCGGTTTCGTCTCAAACATGTTAAGGGTATACGTTAGAGATGGGGTTGGGGGTGGAGACGATGGCGAGGGGGGGGAGAGAGGGAGGGC